CCAGGTTTAAAACTATTCTTAAAATTATCGTGTTACCATGACAACTACTTTCAATTCTTCATAATATTCAGAAAACATAATGTTTTGTCAGTAAGGCGAGGGTTTCTGCATGCATGTATTTTCTAGTAGTTGACTTGAATTACCATGTGGACAACAGTACTAACCCGGATAGTATAAAATTTAATAAAATATTGGAATTGTTTAATCTAAAGCAACACGCGCGCGTACGTGAATGGTCAAACTCACAAGAAGGGTCACACCCTAGATTTGATAATAACAAGGACTGGCGATCGACTGGTGACTAAAATTGAAATACACGAATTCATGTTTTTAGATCATTCAGCTGTAAGCTGTACGTTACAGCTTGAGAAACTACCACTGAAACGTGCAGAAATCCAGTATCGCAAACTGCGGAATACAAACATGGATAGTTTTAATGAAAACCTAAGAGAGTCGAACTTCAGTAGTGACAGTCCAACTATAATCGATCAGTACAAAAAAACTTTGGAAAACACTTTACAGAAACATGCGCCTTTAAAACGAAGAATTATTACACTCCGGCCGTCAGCACCATGGTATAACGAGGAAATTGGTAAAGCCTCTGAAAAGACAGCGTGCAGTAGAAGACTCGAGCGTCGTTAGCGAGCATCTAAACTGTACATTGCCAGAGAGATGTATATTAAATAATGTCAGATAATGAATGATTTGATACTCCTGCGCCATCTCTAATAATAAATATAATCAGAAGGTATTGTTTAATATACAGTTGACACACTACCCCACAGAAAACCAGAGAAATGTTATCCAACTACTGTACATCATCAAAAACTGACCTAGTTAATAATTTTGGAGACTTCTTTAGTGACATGTTAGCAGTTTTACGTAACGAGTTGGCCAATATACCATTTATGACAATCAGTTGAACCCAGTAGAACTGTCGACACACAGTGCGTTGAGTTTAGAGTTTTTCAAACGATGATGGAGCAAGAAGTCGAACATATTGTTGATGCAATGGCAAAAAATCTTGTGAACTCGACCCTACACTTGCAACAATTCTTAAAAGCTGCAGAAAGACTGACTGCCTGTTCACTAACATCATTAACAAGTCACACGAAACTGGACGCATGCCTATACAACTCAAAGAGGCTATGTTAAAACCTAACCTGTTAAAACCTATACCTATATAGTTGCATCTTTCGCAGCTGTTCCTGGTTAGGTCTAATAAATGTATAGTATAAATTTCCACTCGATAATTTCCAAATACAAGACCCTTCAGGCTCCTCACTCACCCTATATATCGAATGGTGATTCGGTTTCCATTTGCAGCACTCATCCTACCGAATTTTTCACCAATGACTTGCACTTTCGTTGTATGTGCCGAATAAGTAAGGGACTGCTCATTATTTATTGTACAGGGGGAGACTGAGGAGAAACTCTACAGTTATAATATTTTTTCGTTGCCCCCCTCTTAAGACAAACAAAACAAGAAGATGAATTTTGGTCCCCCCTCTAGCTCTTTATCTTTATTTACAGAAACAAAAACTCTAGCTCTTTATTTAGAGAAACAAAAATAGACAATGGGGACCAATAGACAATTCCTATTAAAGACTAATTTTTTATCTTAGCGAAAAAAGTATATTCCCGGGAAGGGCATACTAAAATTAGTAAAATTGCAAAGTTTGGTTGCGAAATTTTGTAAGATATGTAGAAAATATAGCCTTCCAAAGTTTGCAAATTTTGTATACTTTTGTATTACAATTTTCGCACGCAATACAAAAATATACAAAATTTGCAAATTTTGCAAGGCTATATTTTCCGTATTTTACAACATTTCGCAACCAAACTTTGCAATAATTTGCTTATTAACTTATTATTATTTACTTATTAACTTATTATTATTTACTTAATTTGCTCTTTCTAGCTGTGGTGATTTATTTGCACCAAGGCCGGATTTTGAGGGGAGGTGTGGAGAGGTGCGCACCTCCCCTGAGATCGTTTTGCACCTGCCCTGAGAATTTTTCCTGAAAGGTCATGCACCTCCCCTTAGGAAAGTTTCAATGATGGAACAAAGTGAAAATGTGATGGTTGCTTAGGATGTACACTTCGTGACGTAACAAAGTTTTCTCTGTAAAATTGAAACAGCGATAGCCATTCATCTCTGTGTCAAGTACCCTTTTAATGCAATGTTTTGAAAGAAACTGTGTAGCAATTGTAATGAAGGGCAAGATTAGGGTCATATACATTCATAATTCATTAATGCACTGGTACATATGTACACTACATGCATAACTCACCTCGTTGATATTGGCCTGTTCTACAATAAGCCCTAACTTTCCATGGGAGTTGTCAGCTAGACCGCTGCACCTCCCCTAAAATTTGTTTTCACCTCCCCCACTATTTTCCCCAAAATCCGGCCTTCAATTTGCATCTCTTTGCCTAGTTCTAAAATTAGTCTATAATAGGGATTGAGTCTATTTACATGAACATAAAAGACTTTTTATTTGGCTTCCATTTATGAATATTGAAGGTCTACTGTATAAACATTGTTATTTGTTAAGTTGTTTTGTGATACATTTTTAAAACTACTGTTTTTTCAAACTGGTAAATATTTTCGAAGCCCCCTTCTTTCGTCTCTCTGTAAAAGCCCCCTCTTTCAGGTTTTAAAAAATTTAAAGCTCCTCCCCCAGTTTCTCCTCAACCCCTTTCGTAAATGCCAATAATGAGCGGTTCCTAAGTTGGCAAAACATGTTTTTTATGAGCAATATCAAATAAACCTTCCAAAATTACGTAATTGTTTATTTGTTACGTAATTGTTCAATAGTTATTAATAATAGTTCTGATATGATATGCTCAGACCTTTGTACACGTTGTAGCAAGTCGACAGGAGTTGGCATTAAGTTTTAATTCCATGAGTGCAAATATTATCGCGATAAGTTAACGCTTGTTTTAAACAATACGCGCAGTGTTTTAGTGCAACGGCCAGGCACGAGCAGAATTTCATTTATTTTTTTCGTTTTCTCTGGAGTGACAGAATTAATATGAAACTATTTTCACCATCCGTTGAAATCTTACCTTTCTGTTGTAGAGTTCCTTAGGAACAAAAGCTGTAATACTTTCTGTATTCGACATTAACACAAGAAGTACGAAGCTATAGCCTCCACACTTATGGAAACGTCTTATCATGATAAAAGTTGCTATTTTGAATAATATTATTATATAATTATTTTGCATAGCAACAAATGAAAGGGGAAATCCCTATTAGGGCATGCATACGTTATTACGCAGGGAGACTTTACATAGCTTGTATTTGACTCAAATTATAATTAAGAAACAGAAAACATTTTTCGTGTTGCTATACAATTATAAAAACACGCGTCGGAGTTTGGAAGAACGAGAAACAATCAGTGGGAAGACGAACCCGAATGACAAGTTTTTCCACGTTATTTCAAATTCTCCCAAACTATCATAATTATTCGTGCAGTCAATGACAATGAGTCAACATATTTATTCGAATGGTCACTGCATGTCAGTTTTAAAACACTCATCACGAGCCAGTCATGTGGTTCTCACGCCAAATTCACATGATTTGAGTCATGCACCTTCACTTGAGTTTATGAATGAATAATTCGGATCAAAACAACTCAAGGTCTACAGTATGATACCGTTAGCGGTCCGTAAACACAAAGTTTGATAATATTTACTTAAAGTGCCTATATCACTTGTGGGATCTTTACGGATTTGAAAAGAGCGCAAAAAGTTATTTAACAAGTTCTTCAACCTCTTTTGATTTAGTTCAACAGTTTCTGAGATATAGGCCCTCAAACATGATTGGCAATTTTTACATTTTTGGAAAAAAATCCGTCCTACTAAATTTTGCTTGGGGGGCTGGGACTCAGGAGCGCGAGCATAAACAAACACTATAGATTACATTACATTTGCTGCTATAACTTACTAAAATGATAATTTTTGCAAGAAAAGTCGGTTATTTAGCTCAAAATCGTCTTCCAGTACTGACAAAAGTTCATATACGATTGCGCTAAATATAAAATCGTGGCCGGTGAAACGTACAAAACGACTTCAAAATCAAATTTGAAAATGAGCCTTCCTAAATGTCGTCAAGCATTGCCGAGCATGAAACAGTTAACATACACTGAAGAATATATTTTGAAAGCTAGAAGAATATAACAGGGATGTAAAGAAATTATTTATAGATGGAACGGGCATAATCGTGTTAGTTCCCGTTAAAGGGATACGGCAATATATTTTTTTATTATTTCATTTTAAAGAACTTTAAAATTATAAGTAAATTTCTTTTACCGATTTTGCGTAACTTTATTATTTCTTGAGATATTTGAACAAAAAAAATCACAAATCAGCGAGCTTTCCGCCACCTTGGATTTTGGCGGATATGCATGTGACATCATAAGCAGGGTCCCGCAATAATTCTATCCATAGAGCAATTGGTTATTATGAGCAGAAAATCATATACTTCAGTAACTATTTGAAATAAAAAACTGTCTGACGACTTTTCAAAAAGACTTAATGTTATTTGGTCATTTACATGTAGTTTTATATGGCTAACCCTACTTATGACGTCACTAAAATCACCGATAATGAGATAAAAATTAATCCAAGATGGCGGACAGCAAATTATTTTAAGTCAAAATATTTCAAGAAATAATGAAGTAACGCAAAATCGGTAAGGGAGATTAACATATAATTTTAAAAGTCTTTTAAAATGAAATAATAAAAAAATATATTGCATGCCGTATCAATTTAAGTGAATCGAATATTTTCTATTTGTAAATATTGTGTGATAGTCACATTTGGCAATGAATACAGTATTCTGCAACTGCAAGTAAACAAACGAAAAATTGTGTGTATTTTAGATTCAATACTAATAGTTTAACTATTAAAAACACTATAAAATTTGATATAGGCAAAGGATAACCGGTTTGATTTGGCCATTCACAAAATATGCAGGATTTGATTCTGTTTGCCTCAATTGCTTTTGATCTGTCATTTGAAAACCTGTGTTGCACAAACATGTGGTATAAGCTGATTCAAAGGAGAAGTAATTTTTGAGGTCTTAACTTAATATTTTTATAAACTTTGGGCATATTCAGTTTAATAGGGCCATTCAAAGCTTCTGTTTATTATAGGAATAGGTTAATACACCTTGCTAATGTCTGGGCAAAGCTTGAGCTGCCCAGATTACTGTGTCTTGAGTATAAAGCTGTATAACAGATCACTGGTTTGCCTCATGGAGGAAGTAATACATTATTGAAGTCTAAGGTATAATTATATCTCTACTTTTAGGTCTTTATATCAGTGGAATACATGTGATTCACCAGATTAGTTCATGGTTGCAAAAAAAATGAAATATAATACCATTGTGTTCTGTTTATCAAACTATCTGCAGTTTTTAATGGGAAAGATGATGACTTCAAAGGATATGAATATTTGGAAGATGAGAAATAAGAAATATAATTTTAAAGCACGACTAACCATAAATATGATTTTTGGTATGTGCAATATCTGTGTCATTCGTTCGAAATGTTATCTCTATACTAAAAAATCCCCCCCCCCCCCATTGACCTTTTCACTGTCAAAGTTTCCGGATATGATGTCATTAGGTGAAT